CTCTAAGCTCTCAACAGGATATCTGAATGTAGCTGTAAGCAGTGGTTTTCAGATGTGGATAGGCAGAATGACTGGTGACCCAGGGAGTCAGCTCTTTGAGGAAAGACTGGATTAGCTGGGGGGGGCGTAGGCAGGTTAGGGGAGCTGAGAAGAGTCTTGGTAATCTTTTTTAAAGATGTAAAAAAAAGAAAAAAAATAAAGAGCCACAAAGCAGAAAAGACTTAGCTGGTCTGGCCTGGAAGAGAGCAGAACTATGCCTGTTCTGAGTCACTTTGGAAATTAGCATTTCCAAAGACTGAGCAGTCCTTACCATACTCCAAAAAGAACTCAAGACTACATGAGGATGGCATACTCCAAAAAGAACTCCAACACACAGAATCATAAATCTCCAAGGTTGGAAAAGACCTTTAAGACTATCCAGACCGACTGCCCAGCTATCACCAGTGTTTCCCACTAAACCATGTCCCTCAGTACAACATCTAAATGTTTCTTGAACATCTGAGGATGGCCTTTGCCTGGCTGGCAAAAATAACACACCAGATGCTCAGAAGCATCCAGGGGAATGGAAGAGTTGCTCCTTTTGCTTACTGTGCTGCAGGTCGGTAAGGAAAGCCACTGGCCCATTTCTCAACATCAGCAGTGGCCAAACCTGACTACATAGGTTGGAAGGGACAGCTGGAGATCATAGAGTCCAATCCCCCTGCTAAAACAGTTTCCCTACAGCAGGTGACACAGCTGGGCATCCAGACAGGAGCACATCCACTCATTGACTTATTTACTGGAAAGAAATTCAGCAGAAGGAATGTCTTGACCAAGCACTGTTAGGCAGCACATGCAGCTCTGGGATACAAAGGTCCCTGAGAGAGGCAGACCTTGCAGAAGGTTCCAGATGCTTTTACAGTGCTTGGTCCACTTACACCTTTGTCTTTTGTTGTGCACTGAAAAATGTCTCTGTTAGACATCTACTAGCTCACACCACTGCTAATTCTCCCCCAAGCAGCTTGCTAGTCACAGCAAGATAGCTAAAGCAACACTCATTACTTTGTGAACAAGATAAAAAAAATGCAGCTAAATTGTACAAAGCAGTCACTATTTGAAATGCTTTCCAAGTGCCTAAGACAGAAATACCTAAACTCTACTTGGAAAGGTTGTGAGCACTGTTCCACAGTACTGTATATTGTCTATCCCCATCCATGGACTAAAGTTGCACAGAAAACACACTTCTACTTCCATGTCAGATATACCCACAAAGACACTTTATAGATGATATTAAATCCAGGTCTTGACTAAAGCAAGTGGCACAGGTGAAATACCTTAAAACAAGAAAGCCCATTAATTTCTTCAGCATTCTTGTAGGAGTCCAGCTATGCCCAGACTTCAATTCAAAATCATAGCTTACCACACAGAAAATGGGCTCTTCTCTTTGTCATGTTTTTAATCATCAGTCATCCAACTTGCCCTTGGCAGCAATAAAAACTGGCTGTGTGTTTAACCTGTCTCTGACAAGGCTGCCTCCTAGAAGGAAGCAGGGCCAGGAGGCAGGGAGATGTGGCTGATGGTACAGGGGCTGCAGCAGCCTGGAGCACACCGCCTGTCTGTGCCAGGTGCTGCCACTGCAGCAAAAAAAAAAACAATTATGCCCATCAGTTTTTAATTAGGAAATGATGTGTGATTTACAAGGCTTAGTGCTGTGTGAAATTTTAACAAGTTGGTACTGCTGTTCCAGAATCATATTAGCAGCAACTTTTTCTTCCCCTTCCCACAGAGTCCTTTAAGCAAGTAATTCAGACAAAAAGCAAAAGTCTTTTGTCTGGGTTTTAATCCTAACTAGTAGAGCAGTTTATGTGCTTCTTTCATTCTTTTTCTCTTGTTACTTTTTAAATAACAATATAGTTTCTTCCCTGCAGCCAGCAGTGCTAAATACATCTGTCTGAGCTCCAGCCTACTTTATCAGGATCTAAGTTTTGCTTGAAAGGCATAAAAAGAAGCTTGCAAAGGCTGGAAAAGGAAACCACACATCTAGCAGTCAGAGACTATTTCTGCATGAAGGGCTATGGATGGCACAGACTCAACATCTCCTACCAGCAGCATAAACCTACAGCCCTCTCCCCAGCTCCATCCACTACTTACTGCTGCTCCAACCTGCATCCTTCTGAGAATAATTTTTTTCTAATATCCAACCTGAACCATCCCTGGTACAGTTTCAGGCCAATGTACCATTCAGTCATCAACCACAGAAAGTCCAGCAAGGTCACAACATCTTTAGAAATGCCCCCTGGAGATATCCAGCCAGACCATATGGGACCAGCCCCATAGCATAATGTTGCTCAGAGGAAAGTGGGGTGCACACACAGTACTGATAGTGGGTACCTTGAAAGCAGCCTACAGCATGCAAAACTAAAGTTATGGAAGGTTAACTGGTTGTTTGGGATGTAGCTATGGCCTGTCACTTCAGATAAAGCTCTTACTAAAGCAGTTCCCCCTACACAAATAAGCCCTAAACAAAATGCAGGCTCCACTCACTGTACACATACAAGGGTTTAAAGAAGAAATGAGAATAAAAGTCAGTGAGGCTCCACTTGGACTACTTTAGCAAGAACAGCAGTTTCAAAAGCAAGAAGTCTGAAAGATTCGTGCTACCCTTGCCTTCTGGGAGAAATACAAAAGGTAAAAGGCTGGTATAGCATTTCAGACTTAGAGGCATGAAGTTATGGCTTTAAATAGATGTTGGAAACGTCTCTTCATCAAATACGCTAAATGGATACCTGTAGGCTTGGAATTAAAACAGCAATTCAAGGTGTAAAATCTTAGAATCATAGAATCACTTATTATATATATCATCTTATGATTCTATATATCCAAATACATAAGTTATGAGCAGCTTGACCATCAGTTTCTTATGGAGTTCAATTGCTTCCTCCAACACAACACCTCCACATAAAGAGGCAAGCATAACATTCAGTGACAGGCAGACCCAAACCTTGCTCCTGTACCCTCCTGATCAGGTGCAACCTGAGGAACCCCCTGGATCACCCAAGCCTCCATGAATCTCAAGTTCTGGAGCATAACAGGGCAATTAGCAAGCATCTTATGGGAAAGTGCTCAAGCTGTCTATGGAAATGAAAACCAATCATTAATAGGCAGAAGCTAAAACAGAAACTATAATAATATATTCTACTTCCACTAAGCCAAATAAGAGCTGTATTTATATCTTTAAAAAAATCTTTCTGATCACTCACACTTTAAATAACTTCTTTCAAAAACATAAATATATATATTTAATATCTACATCTACCCAAAACGATGAAAACATTAAGGCTCCCCCACTATGGGATTTGACTATTTCCTGATGAAGATGACTCGTAAAATCTGAATTAAATTACTTCTGAAATGCAATTAAAAATGCTGCCTGTGGTCTGAAAGCATTGAAATATCAGTAAATGTCAATACACTATTAAATCACACCATCCTTAGAACCTGCAGCTCCCAGGTTCAGATTCAGCATTTGAGTCTGTGTAATTCAAATTTTGCCTTTCCTTAAGCTGAATAAAACATGACCTGTGTCTGTTTGCTCTGCATATCTCATTCACTGTAGCTCGTTTCCATGCAAATCTCAAAGGAAAATTCAGTAAAATATAGATGAAGATTGTGGGATGTTTGTCCTCCAGGGTGACTTGACTTCTGCCTTTTAAAGCATCTCACTATTGATCACGCTACTAAAGTACTTTTTTTTATTATTATTCATTTTGTTGCTGTTATTTTATTATTTACTGCACCTAAACCCAATTGCTTCTGTTCATTGGGGTGGACAGTTGGACTAGATGATCTTAGAGATCTTTTCCAGTCTTAATGATTCTGGCTGAGCATGGTTGTCCAAGGATAATGGTGTGACAAAGCACTGATTGAACACATGGAAGGCTCTGAATAAAACAAGCACCAGGTAAGGGAACACATACCTTAAATGTTCCTATCTGCTATAGGTGAGGGAGGAGGTGCCCTGCAGAGCAGAAACTGGAAGCTTTATCAGGAACAGAAAAGTCTGGTCCAATTCCTTCAGTTGCCTCAGGCATTCAAGCTAGCTTCTTAATTCAGTCACTTAAATTAACTCCAGGGTCCCTCTGGGCTTCTTTCTACTTCCAAGAAGCCAAGCTACAAAATCCACATGGCAAACCCTAGAAAGCTGAGGAGTTCATGTTCCCATTCAGAGGCTCTTGTCCTACTCCCTGAACAGCACATTATTTACCCTAAGAGTGAACAGCATTGACCTGCAGAAGACAAAATCCCTTGGAGCACATGGTCTGCACCCTATAATAAGAGCAGGCAAACTGAAGAAGGGAGGAGTGGGATAGCCCACCAAAACCAAACACTGCTGCATTCAGCTCTATGCACCTGGAGGGAATCTCAGAATTTTGTTCCTTAAGGCTATGAGGGAAGAACATTTCTTCTCTATCGCAGAATTAAAGATGTGATCTATTGGTTTTCTCACTCCTGTCAAGGGAAGGCTGAATATCACCATTCTCTTTCTTCAAAAGCTTAAGCATCTGCTTACCAAAAGCTTCACTATTTCTTCACCCTTCCAAAAAGTCACTGTAAGGAACAGTCTGATAATAGATTCCTGCATCTCACATTTCAGATCCTTAATGTCTGCAGATCACTGCTCCCTCTCCGTGTCAGGTAGCTGAGGACAAGGTTTCCCAAACCCCGTCACACCTCATGGAGGAGGCTGTCCCACAGCTTGCACCCATGTAACACCAAGCCTACTAGCACGTGGTCCCAGCTCCAGCTGGTGAAGGAAAGCACAAAGGAAGCCTGGCTATGGGTGGGCAGCTCTGAGCAGCTGATGGAATTAGAGAGGCAGGCTTTGCCCTCAGCACTGGCCCTTTCAGCAGAAAGGGGGGAAAAAACACCATAAATTTTGGTTTCTTTTCTCTGAGGATCTGTCAAATACATTAGCAGCCAAGCAACAAAGGGAATTCTCCGTTTGAGTACTTGTCATCAAAATGAGTGAGGAATCAGAAAAACAGCAAAAGCAGAGGATGACTGACAGGACTACATTTTTACTGCAAAAAAAATACAATTTCATGTAAGCAGCAGGTCACTTTTAGACTTCAGGAATGTTTGTATGAAGGCTCTGCTCAGTGACTTCATATAATGGGTTACAAAATACCTAAATGGCTATGCACAAGGGCTGCTTTGAAAGTAATGCCTCTTCTCAATGTTTGCTGAACGTTTATGGAAACCAAACATCTACAGTTCAGCAGTGGTGATAGCAATACAAGAGACAAACCACATTCTACATGGCTGTGCAGATTTATTTTTTATTTTTTATTTTTTTTTAATGAGCACAGCATACAGGCTCTTGTTCATCACTGGTGAAAATTCACAGCCAATGGTGGTGAGCATGTTGAAAAACAATGTTTTGTAGCTGAGAATTTGCTCTCTCAAATAGTGTTATTGTGGTCTTTTGTGGTACTATTGTGGTACCTGTTGAAGTTTTCATGGAAAGAAATAGGAAGCAACACTTCTGGAGCAACCTACATGTCTTTACAAATAGATACGATGATGTGTAAATAATGTCCATAATAACTACTGCTTTAATCTGATTTCATTACATGCTCCTCACATCCATAACATGAACATGTTAATCTTCAGTACAGATTAAGCATGACCTAAATTTTGCCCTGTTCCCTGTGCACTGGTGCAGGAGAAAGGCTGTGTGCAGTCACACAGCTCAGGAACAACCGTGGGAAACTGCAGACATCTCAGGAATCCACTCCACGTGAGCCTTGGGCTGCCCACTGCCACCTGTGCAGAAACATCCAGCTCCTTTTTACATTTCCTTTTCAGCCACTTTGCAGATGCAGGCATCCTGTGGAAAAATCAGCACAGACGCAACGATGTCTGCACTATTCCAACCACCTTGATGCCATGTCAGGCAGAACATCAGGGCAAGGCAGGAGGGAGCAAGCACAAGGGAGAGAAGGAAAACAGGTCATGCAAAGCAGAAATAAAAATGCAAAACAAAAGCCACAACAGAAGAGATCAAGAACAAAAGAAGCAAATTCAGGAGACAGGCACCAGCAAACTTGACAGGTGAAGCGATGCGAGGCACTGTGTACTACTGGGTTTCAGTAGATATGATGATGCTCTCGTTTCTATCAAAATGGCTGTTGCATGAATGCCTTCATTGTTCCTCTTTATCTGCCTCTGCTGACATAAGGCTCCCATCCTGGGACAGCAGGCAGCCATTCAGAACGTAGCAATCAGAAGTGTCTGCTGAGAGCAACACTGACAGATGGGCACTGCTGGATTTAACCATGCTGGCTTGCAGCGCTCCTGCTCACAGTGCTGCACATGGCTGTAAGCTGCCCTCCTTGGTTTCTTTGGCAATCGCAACCCCAGGGATTAGGCAGCAAACTGAGCACCTGCTCAGAACAGGTTTGGCAAAGGACAGAATAATAAGGAAGTGCAGAATGGAGAATAGACAGGACCCCAGCATGGGGCTAGGGACTAGCATGAGATATCCCATTTACAAAGCTCACAGGTTCCAAATGCATCAGGAATCCTACACAGCATCTCCATAAGGCTAGAGTTCATCTGACTAAATGTGAATGTCAACATCAGAGTTAATCACCAGCATCACCTGCACCATTCACAGAGAGAAATGGGTACTTGGCAGACATCTTCTATCTGTTCCACTGCAAGCTGGTATCTGTGCCAGCTAGATGAGCTGCCCCTTCCCCTTCATTAACCAGAACCTGGGGTTACCAGTCCAGGTACAGATTTCTCTGCCATAGGCATGGAAACATCAGTGAAATGAAATTAATCCCAGGACAACACACGTGACACTTGCTTGTCATGCTGCCACATGCCAGTTCTGTGCCAGCAGCTCTTTGTCCAAGATGAATAAATATCCCTTTGACAATTTGATAATTAAAATTAAACATCTTCAGCACCACGTCAATGGAAAACTGAGGGTAATAGCTTTATGTAATAATTAACAACTGCTTGGGGAGATTATTCAATAAGCTTTAAGGGCAGCATTATTTGTCATACACCTGTCCTAATCAAGATCAACAACAAGAAGATGTGGCTGCCCTGTGGGAAATTACTCATCTTGCAGGCAGCACTGGAAGAAAAGTCGTGACTATTCTATAATTGGGCACTTGGAGATAAGGTCAAGAAGATACCAGGGAGTCAGGGTGCGGGCGTTATGATGTTTATGGACTTCAAAGAGAAAACAATCTAGTTTCAGGGATCTGTACCCAAAGCACCTTGTCATGAGTGCAACAGAAGCACCCTGCAGAGGCAGGCCATAGCGACACTGGAAGCACAGTAAGGACACTTAACATCTTGCTAACCCTCTGCTGTCTGACACCCTTCTCCAATGGGCAAGCAGAGCCACCAGCAGTACCAAGCATTAGGAACCTTTTGTTCTGTAGAGGGAGCCACAGACCTGTAATGTGCAATGAGGCTAAAAATATTGTTCGGAAGCATAGGCCTAGGTAGCAAAGGACACAGTGGTGATTCAGTTTATAATTAAACTTCCTGTTAGAAATATCAAAGTTCCTCTGATAACACTGGCAATTATACTTCTGACTCACCTAGCTGTTACTGTAACCAGGCAAAATAAAAGCTTTTTTGATCCTGAAGGTATAAATAATTAAAGAAACTATTGTTTTGAAAGAGTACCTGGCATTTCACGGTTACTGAAACACCATCAAAATAAATAGCTACACGCAGAGAAAAACACTACTTTCTACTTGAGAATAGCAGCTTTTATTACGACATGTATTACCTCAAAGAGAGTGATAAAGCATCCATTCATCCCTCATGTAGAAGAGATGTACCACTCATCCATTCCTGTTTCCATCAAGGTTAGCCTACGGGGACAAACAGACCATTACTAGTTAGATGCTAATAAGGAATCAAAGAAGAATGAATGTTGGAAAAAGTGTCTGAGATCACCTTGTGTAACCACCAACCCAATCCCCAGCATGCCTACTGACCACGTCCCTCAGTGCCACATCTCCATGGCTCTTGAACACTTCCAGGAACAGTGACTCCACCATCTCCCTGGGCAGCCTGTGCCAGTGCCTCACCACTCTTTTGGAGAAGAAATTTCCCTTAATATCCAATCTTAATCTCCCCCGGTATAGCTTAAAACCATTATTTGTCATCCTATCACAGTTACCTGGGAGAAGAGGCTGACCCTCATCTCACCACAACCTCCTTTAATATGATTGTAGAGAGTGACAGGACCTCCATCAAGCCTCCTCTTCTTCAGACTGAACAATCCCAGTTCCCTCACTCTCGGGCCTTTCTTATGGGGTCCCCCTGGGGAATGGCTTAGAAAGTCTTGTTCACCTGTCACGCATGCTTTAGTTTTCCTGTAAGTTAGTGCTGTCTCAAGGCCTGGTGCCCTGGGGCTGCAAGCGCTGCCGCAGATGAACCTCCACTGCCTAAAGCTCACCCTCTTGGTTCTGAGTAATGGAAGCTTTCACCCCCAGCAGAAAAACATATGGGCCTTACAGCCCTCCCCAGCAGAAGGTGACCATTCCCCAGGGGGACAAGGCGCTCGTCCGCAGGCCCAGAGCAAAAGCTACATCAGTTCAGTCAGCCCTTTACTGCAAGGCTCTCAGGGCCCTCACGAGAAAGGGTTTGTTCTCTTCTAAACAAGAACACAATGTTTTTAACTTGCCTCTGGGGAAGCCTGGCACAGGATCAGCAAGGCCAAAGGCCTGAGCCAGCAGGGTGGCACCTCGAGCTGCAGGGAAACATGAAGGCAGCTCATTAATTAGAGCAGGTTTGTAAGGGCCTCGCAGCCTGCCCTCACCCTCATTACAGGGCCTGGTGAACAGCAAAGGCAGCACCAAGTGTCTCGCTTGTCACCACAGCCCACTTGTCACTCTTGATGAGCCTCTCACATCTCTGTTTTACTTAAGAACCTGATTTTTGGAAGCACAAAAGGCCCTGATTAGCAAAACTGCTGCAACAGAATTTGGGGAAACACAAACATACAGCTCTTCTGAAAAAGCACGCTACATGCTGTGAAACCAAAGGCAGATTACCGGCAAGAACTCTATTTTTAGTTGTACCATGCAATAATACTCACAAATTCCAAGTAAATTTACTGGTACATATTTGAGAGGCAGCCTGCGGCCCCAGCTTTGTCAACAACTGGTAGCTACAGGCTCAGCACCTGCAGCACTGCACTGTTCTCCACTGTTTCCATAGGGCTTCTGGTTGGCTCTGCCAGTCAGCACACATGGGATGAGCTGACACCAGATAGACATTCTATGCTTTTAACGTGTGGGAAGCAAGATGTAAATTGTCCCAATGAAATGGTGAAAGGGACACAGCTAAGGCTGTAGAAGCAGTTTTCAAAGCAGGCTGCTTGCAGCAGCTCCAAACACCACAGTTGCTGGAAAGCTTTCCCCAGACCTGAGCAGCCACAAAGCAGCACCAAGCTGCTGATTAGCTGTGCTGAGACAGATGCTGCTAATGAGGGCTTGCTCTACCCCACTATTGGAGAAGCATGAAGAGCAAGGCACAGGAGTTGTACAGGACAGCACTACTCTATCACACCTCTGGCAGCTACATCCCCAAACCCGTCCCATGAGCTGCTCCATGGTGAGCCCTCAATTTTGACAGCTCCATTCATAGTCCAGTGCTTTAAGTGAGCTACCAAGCTCAGCAATACATGTGCTCTACAGGTGAAGCTACTCAAAACAAGAGCTGCCTTCCACCTGGGTTAAATACTAGCCAGTGTTCCAGTTAACAGCAGGGAGAGGGCAGGCACGTATGTTGAGACCTGCTAAACCCATCATTAACACTTCACCCCAGATTCACTGTGCAATTGAACCCGATGCAAGCTATTCCTATACTGACACCATCCTGAGAGGAGGTTTTACAGAACAAAATGAAGAACTCACCTCTACTACCTTCTCATTGCTGCACCCTCCCATTCACCCCAGGATTTCAAATATCAAGTCCACCTTCCTGTTTGGATTCATTTTATTCTACAGAAGGCTGAAAAGAGACGTAACCCTGATAGCTGCAGGAAGACTCTAACAGACATCAGGCTCTCCCCTTCTCAGGGGTCTCGAGACAGCACCTTGGGAAGTCAGTCTCCCCAGGAGCTACACAACTGACTTGTGATGGCTGGGAAAGGGCAGAGCAATGAGCAAAAGGAAGTGTCAGCAGGTCTATCATTTATTAAAACGCATGGCACAGATACTAGGAACATTCCCATCTTCAGTTGTGTTGCATAGTGACATTCAGGTCAGTGAGTACACTGTATGTGGCATGTTTGCACTGCTGCAGGAGCAGCACTTATACTGCAGAACAGGCAGCCTCCCCAAAACTCCCAGCAGTGCAGATCACATAGCCTGCTGTGAAATCTTGTGCAGAGCGTGATTTGTGCACATACTCTAATCCTGCACTCAGCAAGTAAACAGGATGTCCTGTATTCAAGTATAGGAATACATTCCATGTCCTTCCAGAAGGGAAGCTCCAGCAGCCCAGCTCTCACCCAGATGTGACACTCACACAGCACTAAAGGAGGGCAGGCAGGGTGTTCACCCACACAGCTAAGATCCTTACACAGCAGCCCCCTGCTGACAGCCAAATGCAATGCTTGCTCCAGGGAACCTGCAGGCAGACACAGAGCATCACAAAGCACGATCATAGAATCCTTAGAGTTGTAAGGCACCTCCAAGAGCCATCTAGTCCAACTCCTCTGAGGTGAACAGGGACACCACAGCTAGATTAGGTTGCCCAGGGCCTGATCCAGCCTTGCCTTGAAAGTCTCAAAGGACAGGGCATCAACCAGAGCTCCGGGCAAGCGGATCCAGTGCCTCCCCACCCTCACTGTAAAAGACTTTTCCCTGTATCTACCCTCCTCTCTGAGCTTGAAGCCATTTCCCCTTGTGCTATCACCACAGACCCCGATAAAGAGTTTGTCCCCTTCTTTCTTGTAGCTCCCCTTTAGATAAGGAAAGGCCACCTTCAGGTCAGCTCATAGCCTTCTCTGGGCTGGACAGCCCCAGCTCTGTGTCCTCATAGGAGAGGTGTTCCATCCCTCAGATCATTTTTGTGGCCCTTCTCTGGACACACTCCACCAGCTCTATATCTCTCCTGTACTGATGACTCCACATCTGGATGCAGTACTCCAGGTGAGGTCTCACCAGCGCAGAGTAGAGGGGCAGGATCACTTCCCTCAACCTGCTAGTCACACATTTTGAAGCAGCCCAGGATACAGTTGTCTTTCTGGGCTATGAGGGCACATTGCTGGCTTAGGTCCAGCTTGCCATCCATCATTACCTCCAGGTCTTTTTTGGCAGGGCTGCTCTCAATCCTCAGTAATGATGGTCTCAACACAGGTGTAAGACCTTGTATTTGGATTTGTTGAACCTCATGAGGTTTACCTGGGCCCACTGCTCAAGCCTGTCTAGGTCCCACTGAATAGCACCCCTTCTCTCTGGTATGTCAACCACACCTCACAGCTTGGTGTCAGAAAACTTGCTGAGGGCGCACTCCATCACACTGTCAATGTCACCAATGAAGATATTGAAGAGTATCGGCCCCAGCAGCGACCCCTGGGGGACACTGCTTGCCATCAATCTGCATCCAGACATTGAGCAATTGACCACCGCTCTCTGGACTCGACCCAGCAGTCAATTCTTCATCCAAAGAGTCCATCCATCAAATCCATCTCTTTCCAATGTGGAGAGAAGGATGTTGTGGGGTACTGTGTCAGAGGCCTTAGATGACATCAGTGGTTCTTGTCCATTGATGCAGTGACACCATCATAAAAGGCCGCCAGCTTGGCCAAACAGGATTTGCCCTTGGCAACGCCGTGCTGGTTCTCCCTTATCAGCTCCCTGTCTTCCGTGTGTCTTAGCATAGCTTCCAGCAAGATCTGTTCTATGATCTTCCCCCGCACAGAGATGAGTCTGATAGGTCAGTAGTTCCCCGAGCCATTTTTTATCCTTTTTAAAGATGGGTATGATGTTTCCTTTTTTCCAGTGACCAAGGACTTCACTTGATTGCCACAACTTTTGAAATATCAGAGTGTGGCTTGGCAGCCACATCAGCCAATTCCCCTAGGGACCTGGGATGCATCTCATCTGAACTCATAGACTTGGGGATGTTCAGGTTCCTCACAGTGAGAGGGACATTGCTTCCCCAATCCCCTCCTACCAAACCAAAAGTCTGAGGGCTGTGTGGTGAGACTTCCTTCCTTACCAAGGAAGACAGAGGCCAAAAGGTTAAGTACCTCAGCCTTCTCCTTAAATCTTAAGTTTCCTTCTCCTTAGTCCTTAGATTAACTACTATGGCAGATCCTAACTCAAAGAGAAATAACGTTTGAGTTAGCAGAGTGCATGCACAGGGACAGGAGCTAGAAGTAAGCCCAAGCCCACCTGCAGCAGTGAGGGTATAGCTGCTGCAGGAGGCTCAGATGTGGAGGAGATCCCCAGCCAGATGTGCAATCCCCCAGGCACAGCAGCATCCATCCAGCAAACCTCCACAGGCTCATATCATCACAACCCCAGGGACCAGCTCTATGTTGGCAATGGAGAAGCCCATCTCTAGATAGCTCTCTTCAAGCAGAATTTCTTCATCATTGCAAACAACTTCTCTCCTAAGCAGGGCAAGCCCCCCCCTCCTCCCCATAGCCTGAACAGCTCTAAAAGCTCTGCTCAAATTTATGACCATATTAAAATCAGTCTCAATCCTTTTTCTTGCCTTATTTAGGGACATAAGCAGTGAAATAAATCTGCTGCCTAAATATCTACACAACAATATTTAACATTTCATTTGAAACATTATTTTTGCTTTAATCAATTTAAATGTATCCGAGCCATTCTGTTATTTCACATGTAAAGCTGGGATTTAGTGGTGGGAAGTGCAGTATCACAGTTAAGTAATGAAAAAGCAGCAAGATTAAAACCTTCTCATGAAGTTAGCCTACTTGACATAGTAAATAGCTTCTCAATTTAAGAAGGGATAAGCATTTTATAGAAGCGTATCAAGAAAGAACCCTGTTATGTTCTCCAGTGCTTGCCAGTTTTAGTTCATACACAGCAATAAATCCAGTCTTGTTGCTTTCTATATATCTACATACATTTACAGCACTATCAAGTGCAAATGTGATGCTATATCAGTAGAATATACAGTTTCCAAAAGCAGTAATTGAAACTGCAAAGTTACTATTAAGCCTTGTACGTGTTTTGTTTGAAGCTGCTACAGAATCCAATACCCAATTAATACTTCAATTCCCTTTTAGGAGTGAATTGCATTTAGCCCTTCTTATAGCTGAGAGCATTTAAGTGGCATCACAGAAATTCACAACCAAAACAATCATCTGTAAATAAGAACACTGGGCCCTGCCAGCATCTCTGTTGTGCCATGCTCATTTCTAGCTCACTGCTTAAGAACAACGCTGCTGAAGTTACCTGATGACAACTCCCTGCCCCACACTACTCCGAAAGCAAATTCATAGAGGAGATAAATCATTTAATTAAATACCAGGAGAGAGGTACATGGAATCTGGCTGTCAGTGCTGTGCACAGAACCCAGCTAAAACTGAAGCGCATGGCAACCTGAGCCTGCTGTTCAGTTGTGTCTTGAGCTGGAAAACACGTCAGTGTCTTGCGGAGCACTGATTCAGGGTGGGAGGATGGAGATGAGTTCTGAAGCACTGACACAAATACACATACTGAAAGCTTCTGGATAACAGAAAAACTAAACATTACATAAAACGGCACAAAGGGAGTGAGAAAGCCACAAGAAAGAGGCAGAGCATGTGTGCACTGCAAGAACTGGCTTGCCTGAAGACTTTTTCTGCTACAGAAATACCTGCAACCCCCCTTCTCTCAGTAAGAGTTCAGCCTTTAATCAATTCCCTTAGCAGACTTCATTACCCAGTAATTCATCTGATAACACCAGCTGGCCTAGTTACTACGATGAGCTTCTAGGGGAAAAAAGGGTTTAACTCTAGTATATTGCACTAGAGGAAGTAAAGACCACAAGGCTCATCCTGGATTTTACCAGCAGCACTTGACGGTTCTGGAGGGTGTAACAGGAACAGCAGCACCCCCTAGTCCCAAGAACGGGAACAACTCAGAAGACCATTTATTTTGGAAGCTCAGCACCCCCAAGCTGCAGATAAGCAAGAACTGCAATCTCTCACATCAAGTCAAATCCTACAAAACTTGGAAGTACAAATTACTTACTGATAACTGACAGCAGGAACTGGTCTGGAATGCTTCCTCCCCTGCCTGAGAAGCACAGGGGGAATCCAACAAGTGTGTATCTAACACAGGACTCTTCCCTCCGTAGTCAAGAGAAAAAAACTGCAGACACAGGTATTCAGCATCAACCAAGTGCTCCCAAGTGCTGTAAGGCATAAGCACCTCCCCGTCGTTCACTGTCAAACAAAGCAGTGCTGCCTGTGGCATGAGCAGTACACTGCATTACAGCAAGGGAAGAAGAAGAGGGCTTTGGTTACTGGGAATAATTACAAAGCCATTCCATTAAGGTATTTATCTCTTGATATTTGAAGCCTCAAAGCAGTGAATAACAGCATGGGGAAGAAAAGGTATTCATTTTAAATTCATTCTCCCTTGATGCATCTCAGAATTTCTGCTCTCAGGATATAAGCGCCCACAGCAGGAGGGGATTCTGACACAGCCCTTTCTTCTGCCATGTGCAGCCCTCTCCTATAGAGCATCTCTCTCCTGTAGATTCAGAAGCACATAGTGGTGATTATGCAGGCTAAGACCAAGAGTCAAGACAGCTCTGGTAACCAGCAATGCCCCGGGTTTGCTGCTCACTCTGGTTGGTGACAGTAGCAGATGATGCTTGAATGTGGGATTGAAAACCGGTGTTCCTGTTTTATCCCATACCTACCTTCCATTTAACTAAGAGCCCAGTGAACACCGCCTTGTTTGAGGATCAGTGAAGTCATTGCTGAAGATGGCACCAGAAAAAAATTTCATCCTTTAAGTACACATTACACTCCAAAGGGATAAAGTTATTTCCTAGTTACTCTGCAGGCTCAGACAGAAGCAATAGAAACTCTTAAAAATGGATGTCTGTGGCACAAAGACCTACCACACATTTTGTTAGCTTAATCTTTTGGCCATTCTGCATGTGAAGGCTGTTTTTCTTCAGAAATCAAACAACTGTCTGATATCATAGGATATCAGTAACACTCCCTCCTATGAACAAATCCCTAACAAAAAACACTAGCTTTCCATCAGCAAACAGGGCGTGAGACTGAACTCTAACTCTCAAATCCCTTTTGACAAAGGCATTTACTTCTTACAATTAGGCAAAAAAAGGAGGCCAGAGTGTTAAGATGTAATCAACAGCTTAAAATAAAAGGAACTGTTCCTGACTGAGAAGTAGGCTTTGACAGAAGAACTCTGCTCATTTACTGCTTTCCGCCGGGCAAAGTTTGACATCTCACTGGTGCGGAGGAAGCGGTTACCCTTTGGGGATTGCACCAGATTGTGAATATTCCTTCAGATCCATGGGCCGGCTGTGCCCTGCTGCAGGCATAAGCAGTAGAAACTGTTCTCTGACCTCTTCTGGGCACAAATTGCTGTAATCACTCCAGGAAATTTGAGAAATCTGGGGATTTTCTTTTTGTCATTACATTCTAATGTTGCAGTTGCTTCCTGAGGACAAGACAGAAGGGGTTGCTGCCCTTACTCCTCCATGTTGCTTAAGATTTTATGTCTGACATGTAATTTAAAAGAAAAAAAAATGCACCAGTTAAAGAGTTTTCTTACCTGGGAGCTTTCTTACCTGGAGCCATGCTTTTTTTTTTTTTTCCCCCATTACAGTCACAATTGGAAATAAATTTTACAAGAGAAATGATGCTGAGTCACTGTTCTTCCATTTTACCTGGTGCTATTAAAAGCTGTTAAAATTAACAGCAGTAAAACATGTGGGGGAATAGTTAGGGATCAGTTCTGCATAAATTAACTGACAGGCAGAGCATTGCACCAGGCACAACTGCTTTTACTTACCCCTCAGTATTTTTCCTCTACTAGCCTAATTGCCTTCCACTCACAGCAATTACTGTGCCAGAACCCCCAGCAGACAGCTGTTCTCATTCAGACATGTATAAAGAAATCAGCACTTTTATCATCACTTCGCTTCAAATCTCTACTTGTTCTTCTAACTCAGCTCCTGTATGTATTTCAAAGAGTCTGGTTTTACTTCATTTCTTGTCTGTTCATCTTTTTTTTTTTTTTAAACTGTCAGATATCATTCTCTCCTCAGTGTTTAAGAGGATCAAGTGTCAAACAAATGACACCTCCATTAAATTAGGAAGTAAGCACTTTACAGAAACTAAGTACTTTATCAAGGCTTGGACATGATCTATGTACAACTAACCAAGAGTAAGACATGTAATTCTCCTTGTGAAAACTGGGAAATAAAGGCAGGATTGTATCAGAATGGCCTGAGTTGGAAGGGACCTCAAGGATCATGAATCTCCAACCCCCCTGTCACAGGCAAGGCCACCAACCTCCCCATTTAATACCAGACCAGGCTGCCTAGGGCCCCATCTGGCCTTGAACACCTCTAGGGTTGGGGCATCCACAACCTCTCTAGGCAGCCTGTTCCAGCACCTCACCACCCTCACAGTAAAGAGCATAAAAATAAGGAATACTGTATGCATAGCTTTTCCCCAGACTACATAGCAAGAAGCTATTTGCATTGTGGTGAGTACATAACCAAAACTAAGTAGGCATTTACACACCAGTGACACCAGAATAAGATTAATACCAGCCACAGCAAGCCTTATTCTCTCATTAAATCACTTTCAATTCTTATCTAATCCATCTCTAACACATCCATGATTCTATGTCTATGGTATCTATTACCCTATAAACACACTTAGCTAAAAGACTTTCCTCCTGTCTGCCATTGCAGGAATCTTGGCCACACATCCATTTCAAATTGCCCTGATTGTATGTTGAAAACTCAGTTCTACTTTTTACCTCCTGAATTAGGAATAACAAATTAAAGCCTTCATTCCAATCATTTCCATCTAGTGATCCTCTGGGTACATAAGAATCAATTAGGAAAAGAAAACTATGACACAGCTTAACCTTTCATATTCACCTCTCGCTAGTCTCACGCTCTAAATAACACTATGAGTTCTGATGCTTTGAACCAATTTGATCAAAGCTTTAACTAAGACAAGCAAAGATAGCACAAAATCCAATTTGCTGAAGAAATATGCTGGTACTTAGCAGGAAAGCTGCTTAATAACTTTAAAAACAAGCATCGAGTTCCAGTGCTTCAAAATGTGCCTGGCCAGTCAATGTAACATGCCCCTACCTGAGTTACCAATGTGTTCTCAGCCTGTGGTAATCACTGACCTGTTACCAATATCAGTGCTATGAGGGCATTTTAGAGCCATCTGTTATGAGTCTATCTTCTGCCTTGCATGTCAGGCTTTGGGGTTGGGCTTTTAAAAATAATTTCATTTTGTTCCATAATGTAGCCTTAGAAACATGTGTCCTGATAGCTTCAGGCTCAGGGGAAGAGCAGTTGCACACCATCAGCCTCAGGGAGCTCAAGGAAAAGGAGCAAAGACCAGTAGATCAGTTAATTCTCTGCCAAGGCAGCATCTCTCAAAGAAACAATACGTACATCATATATAACTTCAAAGAGGGAACCCTTTTGCAGGAAGACACCAACTCACTTTTTCAGTTTATGGAAATGCTGTAAGTTCTGTAAAATACCAACCAAAAAGGCATAAGAAGCACACTTGCAGGGCAGACCTTGTTACTGAGGCATCGTATCATTGAAGTCAGTACTTAAGTGACTTTCAGTCTCATCAGGAATTAACGTGGCTTCACTGCAACTCATTCTACCTGAGACCATAGGAAACTCCTCCACATTCCACACACCATTACCATAGCTGTATTAAGCATACTGCTTGTCACTGAACAGCATTCTTTGTTATCTTCCTTTGATACTAAACATTAAAACCAACCTAACAAGATGCAGAACCAGAGGATGTTGCCCAATTAGCTGGCTTTACCCTGAACCACTTATAGCAGTAGACTCCCAGTTAAGCACAATCATTTAATTCAACATCTGCCAACCAGACAGCAGGAGTTATTTCCTGCAGAACTTGCATTTCCTCAGGAAGTCCGCAATGCAGAAGGAAATTAACACACAGCTTTGCCCATTGGAGTACTGAAGCCAGAACAGCTTCAAATCCAACCAGCTCTTTATTACTAAATAATGTTCCCAGACATCAAAAAAAGTCCACAAGCCAGTGGCATATTATTTTTCACTACACAGAGTATCAGCTTATCCATTTGTTCACCTGCCATGCCAAGTTCCTTTATGTTCTTCAACAGATTTAAATATCACTATTTTGTAGCACCATTCATTTATCTTACATACCAGGAGAAGCACAAGTCACAACATTTAAGGCCCCAAAATTCTCAAGACTTACATTTTACCCATTAGAGTATTTCAAGACAATTCTTTATTTTGAAAAATAAAGTGCCTGGTTTATGTACAAACTATTAAAATAATAGTTAAAAAAGTAAACTTAAAACCTGCCAAGAAAGCAGTGATGTCATGCTGTTGCCTCCAGGGTATTCAGTGAGTTTAAGACCAGAAATTCTCAACTGCTTCTTTATGCAGTAAGAGAAGCTAGTGGTAAGTTGCCCATTACCCCCCATCTAGCAGTAGGATGATGCCCACATTTCATAAAATAAGAGTAACATGTTCCACCTAAGCATTCTAATTAACAGCTTTGGCAAAACCTAATAAAAAGGGATCTTGCTGTCAGAGCTACACTAGCCTCCTTAGAGTACCAGTATCACCACACTTCTCAAGAGTGGGATTTTAACACAAATATCAAGGCATGGTGACTCAATATGCTTGACATTTCCTTGCAAAGAGGGGAGCATACACACTAACTCATGTCTCAGTCCTTTTAAAATTCTGCATCCAGGGTGAAGGAATTGTCTGTGGGCTTTGACATGACTCCCATCCTCTGATATTCACCTACTCGCTTCTCAAAGAAATTGGTCTTGCCTTCCAGAGAGATGTTTTCCATGAAATCAAAAGGATTCTCCACCTTGTATATCTGAAATGCAAAGGCAATTCTATAGTCACGACAATTCTCAAATCTTCAATACAAGAAAACATTTTAAAAAGTGGTAAAGAAGAGGTGTGCTATTATGCTATTAGTGGGCTTATTAGCTAAGTAAACCAGTTTTGATATCAAGCCTTTTCTACTATGTTCATTTCTGTCTTTAAACTGCAGCTTATTCAGTAGAGAAGCACAGCAGTTCTTACATGGTTTTCATCAGCATCCTTTTGCTTTTTTTCCTGTGGCTATCCAAACAGTTTTTAAAACTGTGGGACTACTAACTGAGTTTATATCAATAATGCTGCTGCCATTTTAAACTCTGGATTTCTGGAAGAAATTAAACTTAATATGATCTTTTCCCCCATGACAAATTCTGTGTATTAGCCTTACCTTTCTAAATCCCAGTTCCAACATCAGTCGGTCTGCTACAAACTCTATGTATTGTTTCATTAAAGTGCAGTTCATGCCAATCAACTTAACAGGCAGTGCCTCCGTCAAGAATTCCTGCAGATAATAGAAGCACATCGTGTACAGAAGCTGGCATTCATTCTGAGCTGTCTAGGGTAATGTTATACCCAACAGCTCCAAAGCTTCGCACTTAATTGTAATCAAGTTCCCAAACAAGGAGCAGACAATTACCTGTTCTATGAGAACTGCATTCATGATGATTTCCTTTACTCTTTCCTCCGTTGGTTTGCGAATCAAATGCTTGAACATGAGGCAGGCAAAATCACAGTGCAAACCCTTGAAGGAAGTATCAGAAAGTTCTTTGAGGAATACTGATTTAAAAGAACCACTTGCATCAGTAACACAGAATATAGAGCCTGAAGTCTAAGCACCATCTTGGTACTTGCTACAGTGCTGCTATCTATACAAAACTTTCTGCCTAACCAGAAGGATGTACACTTGAATTCAGGCCGTACCAACTGCACGTGTTCCCACAGCAAGGTACACTGAGAGCAAGAGCTGGTGAGAAACTTGACACTACTTTAGTTAGTAAAATGGTGCTTTCATTCATTCACTGCTGTAAGGTCCATCCACAATGCCACATATTTACACTTTTTTAGTGAGCTTTACAGACTGCCCATTTCTAAATGTATTCCTGCTGTAAAATAGAGGCTCTCATAAGCTACGTGGCACATTACCACCTTAACTGCTGGAACTCGATTCTTACCTCATCTCTGCTGATGAGCTCATTAGAAAAAGTGAGTCCAGGCATTAAGCCTCTTTTCTTCAGCCAAAAAATTGATGCAAAAGAGCCAGAAAAAAAGATTCCTTCCACTGCTGCAAATGCTACTACACGTTCTCCTGTTAAGAGAAGACAGAGTGATATTAACCATAAAAACTTACGAGGATTAATACTCAGAAGTTGTGATAAGAGCAGCAAGCAGACCTCCAAAGAGGAATTAAGAAGCTTCTATTCAAGTGTGCTACAGGTCATACTGAAAACCATCATAGTAAAAGTTTCTGGTAATTAAGTAAAGCTCTAAAACATCATAGATAGTAAAAACAGTAGCTGAAGACAAAAATCCTCTGATGTTAACCATCAATACCACCTGCACAAAGTAGACACTTTAGCAGCAGGTTGAAGTCACCATCTGTTCATCCCTCCATTAAGAGGGACATCGGCCACAAAGGATGCTTTATTACTAATAAAATGACCTCTTTATTTTTTCAATCTTTGAAGTGAGGCGTCAAGAATCACCAGTAGAGAGGAGCCACAGCCTACAACTGTAAAGAGTCACCTGGTGGAGCACTGTTCTGGTCACTTTAGCAGTTTGCTCAGTCAGCCAAATGAATGGTGACTGCCACATACATTATCATCATTCAGAACACCAACAACAGTTCTACAAACACTGATGCCATTCTGCATGATTAAAGTTGTCTTTATCTCCATAATTAAGCTAAAGAGCATTTATTCATCCATTGTGTGACAAAAATAATCCCTGTGAACTATGAAGTCTAGAGAAATAGTGGTTCCTCCAATCTGCTAGGGGAGGAATTTCACTTTGCTTCCAATAGACATGCTCACCATATGTTGCTTTCTTGTCCCCAATCCAGCGTATGGCCCAGTCAGCCTTCTTCTTAACACATGGTAATGTTTCAATAGCATTAAAAAGGAATTCCCTGAAAAGCAGAGAACTCATCAGTATGAGACATGAGTACAACAACAAATTCATAGCCATAGATGGTCTTGTTCTCTTACAAGTGGTCTGCAGCCTCACCCATAATATTTCAGCATCTTCCCATATTATTTCACACCAATTGAGCTCCATTTATGTCCATCTACTCTGTTTACATCGCTTTCCCTGTCAGGCCAACATCAGTTCACATGAATTGAACTGAACTATGACAATATCTAGGAGAATTCTGTTTCACAAAGTATGATACTTGAAGGAGGCTTTCCAAACTACAGACTAACCAGCTTCCAGTTTTCAGTGACAAAAGTTACTAAGACTTCCAGAAACAATCCTTCAGAGCCACTGCTAGGTTCAATGAACCCACCATGAGGGTTTATCATAGTTTTATATACACTCATATTTGTCTTTTGTCTTTTATAGTTACATTCTTTAGTTCCAGGTGCTAAGTGGTTGCAGTTTCATTTCACTTAAGTGAGGTCTCACACACGTAAGAGCAGATATTTTTGAGTGAAGTTGCACCTAAGCAGCTCTTTAAGCAGTATTTTATGTAAGTCTTGTTTAAACCAAAAATCAGTTTTCAATTTGCAGTAACTGATAGGCAACACATCTCAACAATTAAGAGCTTCAAACCTTTCATTATAAGGCAATACCAACCTCTCTTTAGAATCTTTAATGTACGTGTCAATGAGAAGACTGTACATTTCTGAATGTATATTTTCCATGGCAATCTGGAAGCCATAGAAACAACGTGCTTCTGTGATTTGCACTTCTTGACTGAACCGCTCCACCTAGAGGAAACAAATGAGCATTTGTGAACACGTTTATAACAAAGCTGCAGGTCAGAGGCATTGATGCTGCCTGCAACAACTACGGCTCAGCCCACAGAACTCTGCAGATCAACTCCAGATGCATGGGCTTCAACATGAAGAGCAGTAGTAGCCCCTCACAGTTACAAGTCACAGACCCATAGAACCATTTGTATTGGAATCACAAGGTTGGAAAGGACCTGCAAGATCATCTAATCTAAAAGTCCTCCCATTACCATTGCTGCCACAAGCACTAAGCCATATCTCATGGCTCCTCATCCAGACGCCTCTTGAACACTGCAAGGACAGTGACTCCACCACATCCCTAGGCAGGCCATTCCAGTGCCTAGGGGCCCTTAAAAGCCTTCGATCCAACTCCTTGCAATGAGCAGGGATACCTACAGCTCCATCTGGTGCTCAGCACCCCATCCAGCCTGACCTTGGGTGTCCCCAAGGATAGGCATCTACCACCTCTCCAGGCAAGCTGAACACATTACTAAGGGCAGCAATGCTCCCATCAGGCTCTTCCCACGCACTCACCAAGTTCTCGTTCACGATGCCATCACTGGCAGCAAAGAAGGCAAGGACGTGAGAGATGAAGTACTTCTCCTCGGGCTTCAGGGACCCCCAGTGCTGCAGATCCTTGGACAGATCCACCTACACACGAATAAGGGCCGCTGAGATGTGTGCCAGGGCCCAGGGCCGCCCCGCACTGAGGCACGGCCGAGGGGAGCGACGCCGGAGCGCGCTGTGAAAGAGCCGATGGAGGTGCACCGGGGGACACCTCACCTCCTCCGCCGTCCAGAAGGAAGCCTCGGCCTTCTTGTACATCCGCCAGATGTCATGGTACTGGATGGGGAAAATGACGAACCGCCGGGGGTTCTCCCGCAGCAGCGGTTCCTCCTCCTCCTCCGCGCCCCGCGCCACCTGCGGGGAGCACAGAGCGGCTCGGGACGGGACGGCACCGCGGGGAGGCGGCGAAGGAACGGGGGCAGCGCGGGGAAAGCTGTCCTCAGGGGAAGGTGGCGGCAAAGGGGAGCGCGGGGCCGCGAGCACTCACCGGCTTCCCTTCGCTCTCCTGGAAGATCTTGCGCGCTGTCTTGCTGGCCAGGACGCGGCTGCTGCTGAGCGCGGGCGGCTGTGAGGAGAGAGGCGCGGGAGCGGTGAGATCTCCGTCATATCGGGCGAGAGGCAGGAGGAAGGAAAGAAGGGAGAAAGGGAGGGCGCTCACCGTGTTCTCCTTGTCGCTCAGCGCCAGGTTCTTCAGGGGGGACAGCCGGGGCTGCTCCTGGCGGGCGGCGAGCGGGACGCGAGCAGACAGCATGGCGGCGGCGCGGGAAAAGAGTAAGCGCGGGCCGGCCGCGCGCTTCTTTATATCCCCTTCGAACTTGGCGCCAGAACACTCGGCTGCCAATCACAGCGCACGCCGAGCCCGCGGCCGCCCGCCCCCCGACACCTATTGGCTAGAATGCCGGGACCCCGCCTCCCATTGTAGCGGCGAAGGCGGGAGGAAGGAGCCGCCCGGCGCTTGGGCCGTCTTGGGGAGCAAAAACGCGGGAAAGTGAGGAGGCCCCGCCCCTCGGTCTGCCCCACGCCCCGGCGGCCCGCCCCTACGGCCGGCCATGGCCGGGACGGCGGCGTTTGCCCCTTCCAGGGCTGTGGCGAGGGGAATCCTTTTTCTCCATGCAGCTTTCCAGCCGCTCTGCCCCAAGCCTGCAGCGCTGCCTGGGGTTGTTGTGGCCAAAGTGCAGGACCCGGCACCTGGTCTTGTTGGACTTCGTCCCATTGGCCTCAGCCTAGCGATCCAGCCTGTCCAGATCCCTTTGTAGGGCTTTCCTATCCCCGGCAGATCGACATTTCCTCCCAGCTTGGTGTCGTCTGCAGACTTACTGAGGGTAAAAAAATATGGAACGCCTCAGGCATTTGCCCAGCAGCCCCAGAGCAGCAGCCCAGCTGACTGTAGGGCCAGGCTGTCACAGGCTGAACGTGGCATCTGTCACCGTGGTCCATCAAACGCTGTCCTGGTCGCCAGGCAGGCGGTACCTGGAGGTAATGCCTCCAATTCCAGTCAGCCCCAATCATCATCAAAGCAGTTCACAGGAGCAGCGCTGATCTGGGTGCCCTCCTCAGCATCCCTGTGCGCATGGCAGCTGGGACAGCGAGACCAGGCACTTCAAGAACATCACTCCTCCATATCGCTTCTACCGTCAGCTTTTCAAGCAGAACTGACATGTAGGAGATATGGCCTAACTAGAGCAAGTGTGCATCTCAACTCCCTCTTGGCACAGGTGGAAAATTACTGGCCGTCCCCACTCACAGAGCCCATCAATCTTCCTTTGGGTTACATTCCTCTGCGTTGACTCACATGAAGCTGTGTGTGCCGGAAGGCAGCTCCAGCTCCCTCCTTCCCGAGCACCAAAGGTGGCTCACGTTAAGCAGAGCTGCGGCACAGCACAGCTCTGGTGCGCCTCATCAGCTGCTGCTGCAGCACCGGCTTCTGGCCCCGGAAATCCAGCCTGTTGTGTCTGCAGAACATCCAGGAGCCGCAGTACTGCAAGATGCAGCCCAGCGCTGTGTCACCGCGATCCGCCCCCCGGCGGCCGTAACCCGGCGGGGACGGGAGAGGGAGCCCGCGGCCTCCGAACGGCTCCGAGCGGGGAAGCAGATGAGCAATGATAGGGTGAATGTCCCGCTGGGAACTGCCAGCTCCTGTCCTGTCCCACCGCTTCCACAAAACGCCCCTCCACAGCCCGAAAATGTGTTCAGCTGGGAAACAGTGGGAGCGCATCTGGAGCACTTTGAAAGACCTCCCGTGATGGAAAAGCCCCAAACCAGCAGAGAAAATAACCCCGTGGTGTGGCAAAGAAACCTCTATCAAGTAGTCCTGGCCCTGTCCTTTTCTCCCTGCACTGCAGTACCTGGGACACTATAAACCCAGAAGGACCTCACAGAGTTGGACTAGATAATCTTAGTGTTCCTTTCCAACCTTAATGATTCTATGATTCTATTCAGGCTGGATATTAGGAAACATTTCTTCTTCAGAAAGAGTGGTGAGGCAGTGGCACAGGCTGCCCAGGGAGGTGGTGGAGTCACCGTCCCTGGAGGTGTTCAAGAACCATGGAGATGTGGCACTGAGGGATGTGGTCAGTGGGCATGGTGTGGATGGGTTGTTGGTTACACAAGATGATCTTAGAGGTCTTTTCCACTTTAATGATTCTGTGATTCTGTTCAGAGGACATCACACCCCTGCAAATGCTGGACCCTCCTCTGGTTTCATGGAGATGTCTTTATCTGAACAAGAACCACGTGACTTGGCCATTGCCTACTCACAGCCTTCAAGAATGGGTTACATCACCCCCAAGGACACAACCCTGCAGCTGCAGCGCCGACAGGCGGTGAGCAACTGAGGGAGGTACAGCCTTCCTCAGCCCTAGAACCAGGTGGCTGCAGCCAATGCCCCCAGCAGAAGCCATCCCTGCTGCTGTAATTCCTGTGCCAGGTCGCATCCAGCCTGGGTACCCCTCTGAGTAATAAATACTGATTTTCCTTGTGTTCACCTCTGCTCCAGCAGGAACACCCAGAGCTGGGTGCCCAGCACCCCATCCAGGTGGTTTCTGGAGATCTCCAAGCAGGAGACCTCCCAGCCTTTGAGCAATCCAAACAGACCCATGGCATCAATTCCTGACTCCTAAAGGTAACGTGGTTAGTGCTCACTATTTGAGGGGTACTCATAAATATCAGCATTTACTGGTGTGATAGACAGCAGTGACTCCTCTCACCAAACTGGACAAATGTTTTGTTGTTCTTTCACTTACCTCCTTTCCATATGCCTCCAGCAGTTATGTTTTAGGAGCATGCTTTTAGCTAGATTCTTCTCACTGTTTGTTCACGCCTGTTCAAGCTGCTATAACATTGTACAACCTGTCATGGTTGATTTACATTTAGCACTGTGAAGAAAAAAGACTGACGATTGGAGTTTAGAGAGCAAAAATATGGTGAGGCTGGGCTTTGGGGTGTGTTTGGGGTTTTTTGGACCTAAAGACCTTTAAGCAGTGAGCTCAGACAAACAGCTTTCTGATCCAGGAAAGCTCCCTGATCACAGTTCAGCATTTTACCAGCTGTGTTTTGTTCACCAAGGGAAGGGCAAAGGGCCTCCCGCTCACAGCCTTCTCAAGAAGAGTCTCATTTGAAACTTAAATAACCTCCTTATGGGAAGTTCTTCTGGAAGTGGTGTAAAAGCAAACTTTAAAAGAAACTAAGCAAAAGAAAAGGAAGAAGAAATCTTATCCTTCTTTCCCCTGCAGACTTTGGCTGCTGTGGTTACTCACTGTGCTGGGAAGAGCCCTTTATTCTGCTTGCTGGGAGCACAATAGAAATCTCAGTGGGACGCCTCTCAGTACCAGCCTGTGTTTGTAGCACAGTGCATGACATTTTTAGCATGATTAAAATAAAGGTTATGAAACTCATGTATGAAATTCATATAGAAATCTGGATGCTGCAAAAAAAGCTGAAGAAAGTTAAGTAACAAATCAAAGCATTGAGAAGTGCTTGTGTCCCTCCCGATGATAGCCGTTAAAAGTCAGTTGGAAGGGACCCTTAAAGGCCAGCTGGTCCAACTCCCCTGCAATGAACAGGAACACCCACAGCTCCATCGGGTGCTCAGAGCCCCATCCAGCCTCACCTCAGGTGTCCCCAGGGTTGGGGCATCCACCACCTCTCTGGGCAGCCCGTGCCAGTGCCTCACCGCCCTTATTGTAAGAGGTTTGCTCCCCTGATGTTTGAAAAGGACAATTTAAGGCTACACCTGTATCAGCAACACATTCTAGAAGTCATTACCACGTTCCTGTGGGCGATCAAATCGAGGTAACCTCGGCACAACACTCGATGGGTTGATGTTAATGGGTTACAGGACGTGTGAGTAACCCCCTGCAGAGGAATGCAAAGCACTGCAGGAACGTGCCCTGCTCCCGGTGTGACCCTGCAGTCCTAACTGAGGACTTCTCCATCTCAGGAGCAGCAGATGGCGCAGGTCACACCCTCAAGCAGTCTCTGTGCTGTTTCAATAGTTCTGCAAAAGCCCAATAAACCTGCCGTCCCAGGAGGCTGAGACCCACACCTCTGAGATAGCTGCCCCCTGGGGACCCTCAGAGCAGAAGGGCGCGTTGAGCTCTGCTGCACCCAGCACAGTGGCCCCTGAAACGGTGCCAGCTGTTGAGTCGGGGCTTTGCCTGCTCCAACTGACTCAGCTGGAAGCAGGCTGGCACCAAGCTGTGCCGGGAGCAAGGCACCACCGTCAGCACAAAGCGAGTCCACGCACACAGCTTTGTAGCACACCATTTATTATTGCCATCATTATGACACCAAGGCGTCAAACAAGATGCTGGAGATTAAACAGCAACAGTTAGCACGCTAATGGGCATGCTGGCGTGCAGCCCCACACCCTGCTCCACAGCAGGCAGACCACACAGACCTGCAAGATACTGCAGCCTGCCCCAGTGCAATGAAATCCTCACCTGTCCATCTCTCGATCAGAGCTCTGAGTTGCTAGAAATAGCGTGGCCCTGCTCTGCTGCACTTTCCTATTTTATTATTATTATTTTTTTACCTCTGGCAGGTTTGCAAGGGTCAGTGGTTAGTAGCTCTTCATTCCTCTACCAGAAGACACATCATGGATGCCATCAGAAACACCACCCAGGCACTGCTCGCTGCACTCAGGCTTTGAAAGCCTTGCAGCTATCCTGCCAAACCCAAAATGGCAGGCTGTTGGAGAGACTCACTGTGCCCGTACCTGCACAGAAGCACCAAGGACATCCTCCAGCAGCCCCCACAAAGCAAGAGCTCGCTTTCAAGTCACTAATGTGCATCACCATATTGTCAGCCAATGGAAGTGTCCAAGGGGCTCTTCCATGGCCCTTTTAGCTGTGGTTTTAAAGTAAGAAAGAACCTTCTAATTAAATACAGCTACGCTCACTTCAAAAACCTACCCCCATTATTGGGAGGTTCAGCACTGGTTCTCCTGAGGATATGGGAGCAATTTACAACAGCCAACAAACCCTCTGCTGTGCTGTTCTGTCCTTTGCAGAGCAGAGGTAACCACATCCACCTGAACAGAGGTGGGGAAGCTTAATTAACTAGTAGTTACACAATGCTTTCACAGGGAAATCTTGTGTTTACAGCTTCGTTTTGTAATAAACAGTGTCAATGTCTCCAGAACTTTAACACCCAATCTGTGTAAGGGACATTTTACAAAGCTCAGCACCAAAATCCCTGTTATTAAGCAACCTATCATTCCTATGTAAGTATGCTGCTGTAGAAGCCCCAACATGCCTCAGAAGAAGCAGGCAGTAGGCAAAAGTTTGACTTGCTCATGACTCAGTGACATGAAGTCATCCTGCTTTAACTAACTGTCTCTGAGCACTACACAGCTGAGAAAAAATAACAAAGGGATGTTCTTCATGTATTCAACATGGGCCCAGCTCAGATGGCTATGTGAACATAGGGGCAGGGGAAAAAAAAAATGATTTGGTGCATTTTGGGCTAAAAGCTGACACATTTTCTATCACTGGTCCAACCCATCTTTTGTTGCTGGTTCCAGCTAACATGTAATACTTCATTTCAATAAACACAAGCTGAGCTGATGGTGTTATTGTAGGTAGCTGGCCAAGCCCACCAGAATATGTTGCTTTTCCAAAGGCTGCCCTTGCTTATCTCTTGGACCAAACCATGCTTCCTTTTGATCACTGCTGGATGCCATTTGAGTACTAATCTCCAGAAGTACCCGAGGCAGCTGACCTTCTTCTTCTGGGTATTTCTTCCCATCTTTGGGAAATACAAGTTTGTCTGCAAGCAAGCACCACTGAAGTGTTGCTGGGAACTGATACAGATATTTCCTATCATCCTGGAGCTGACAAGAGCTCCAGGGGAAGAAAAGGGGAGATTTTTGCACAGGTGATGTCCAGACGGTATTTATTGTACACAGAAGTTACAATCAAGGGTGCAGATGGTCATTCACAGTCATGCTTGGTGTGATGGTAATGAACTGTTCAGGCCTGTAGAAAAGCAGAGTAACAGCAGAAGAAAACCATGTGAGATTAAAGGAAATGAGGAAGTAATATCACAGATCCCATATTTTTGTTTCAAATTAGTTCTCTAAGCAGAGCATCTTTGCTCCCTGGGGCCTGCCCCCATAAGGTACTCTGCTTTCCCAATTCTTCTGCTCAGATTTTCCATCTTCAGACAAACAGAGCTGTCAAATCCACCAAGACTGAATACATACACACATACCTACCACCAGCTTTCCTTTGGCTTCAGAACAGATATTTCCCTTCTGTGCACCACCCCCTCAATGCTTAAATCTCCATACAAGCAGGGGCAACAAGCCCAGGTTCACCATGTTCCATGTGCTCAGCAGCAGAACATCCCAGGCCAACTTCTCGAGGGGTGATTTACTCTGCCAAGCTGCTTTGTTTTCATCCATTAATCAATGACAGCATGATGGGCAGACAAGCATTTACAGCCCATGACCCCATTGGCCTGGTGTGATGCTGGTCACTTGTGTGGGACCCAGCCAGCAATGCCACCCAGAGAACTGGACTTCAGCCTTCCTTGCAAACAAACGTAGACTCAGAGAATCCATCAGTGTGGTAAATAAGGCTGGCCAGGGCTTGTGCGTGACCCAGAGGCTTTCTGACACAACCTGGCTGCCTTTCTACTGCTCTGGTCTCTCACCCTCACCAAAACTGCACGGCTACACACAAACCATGGCAGTGGCAGGGCAGGCCGGTGGCCTCTCCCCAAAAGTCTCTGAGCCCCTTGGCTAGGCTGCACGGGGCTTGACCTCCAGGCCACAGGTGGGCATTCTGACCATTCCAGCCTCTTCCTCTTTCTCCTTCTCCCCTTGGGATGGTCTTTGCCAGCAGGACCAACAGCTTTATGTTCCTCCAGCTGACACAACACCTGGCAAACCCAAACATTTGGATGGGATGGGCCTCATCGTAGTTACCTGCCCGCGGGGCCTGCTGCCAAGTCAGAGCAGGTTGCCCTGGGCCAGGCAAGTTCTGACGGGATGGAGAGCCCCAGCCTCTTTGAGCAGCCTGCTCAGTGCTTCACCACCCTCAGGGTGAAGAACTTTTCCTCATGTCTGATGGGAATTTAGCATCTTGCTGTTTGGTCCTAGTCTAGCTCCATATACATTACAAACAATAACTGGTGGACATACGAATGAGTGTTTGGAATAATCCTGAGCAAAAAATACTAGGTTTTCAGTAGCCTACTGAAAGCTGTGAGCTCATTTATCTGCGGGAAAAGTAAATAAGCAAATGTCATCATTTTGTCCAATTGTTTTCACAGGTCAGAAGCTGGGGCAGATGCTATTTTCTTTCCCCGTGCAGACAAGTTGCATGTTCATTGACTAAAATAGACCCCAAGTAGAATTTGATTACCCAAATATAGGCTGTTGTCAATGCTCTGCTGTATTCGTGATATCTGTGACTCAGAGATGCTCAAGCAACAGGACAGAAGGCAACGGTCACAAGCTGAAACAAAAGAAATTCTGGCTGTGTGCACGGGAAAAAATCGTTTTCCTAAGAAAATGGTTAAGTGCTGGAGCAAATTCCCCAGAGTCTCCATCCTTGGAGATACTCAACACTGTGTGAAGCCCTGAGCTGTGTGCTAAATGGCCCTGCTTAGACAGTTGGACTGAGATCTATGGCTGTCCCATACAACCTGAATTATTTTATTATTCTGTGATTCTGTGGCCTATAGAGACCTCACACTTTTTGAAGAGGTGGCTGAAGGCCAGGCAAGGTACCTCAAGGGCATCTGGAACGCCTGATGTTTCCATGGGGAGGTTCATCCATTTTGCTGGAGTCTCTGCCCCTTCATGAGCTGGAAAAGAAAAAATGTTCCTTGCCAGTACTGCTGATTTTCCCATCTCTATTCCCAGTCAAGCTACTTTGTGTATCCAGATCTGCCTTTCAGAGAAGATGCACTCATTGAGTTTACAGTCTAAGATTTGGATCTCTGACCCATATTTTGGGGAATTCAGGGGAGTGGCCCTTCCTTTCCTCCTTCTCTTTTGTAACCTCCCAGCAGCACAAGAGTAAGTGCAATGCAAATCCCTGTGCTCCAAAACCTCAGCCCTGTGTTCCAGAACAGCACAGCTTGAAGTAGTTAGCTACATGCTGAAAGGTATATTGTACATTAGCTACATGCTGTATGGGTTGACTTTTAGAAAGGAAATGCTTTTAAACTCTTCCCTGCCATTAGTCTCTTCAAATGTGAAATACCAAAAGTTGTACAGGTTCTTTCAACTAGAAAAATGCCAGCGCTTCCCCCCAGGTAGAAGCACATCATTCTGCACTTTAAAGCAGAGATAGATGAAAGGAGGGTCTGTTCACAGCTCATGTTGCCAGCAATCCCATTCACACCGCCCTTCCCAGATAAAGTCCTGGGAGCTCCTGCCCTGCCTCACCACTTAGTGGTGCTCCTCCACCCCATTCTATCAGGGCCAGCTTTGGCATCTGTTTCAAACCCCCATAATCCCTGAGTCTGCTTAGCAGACACAGGCTTTCTAGCACCAAAACAGTTCATGCATACCACAAAGAGATCAGGCATGATCGCGTTACAGCCTCTCAGCAAGTTATTCCAGGACTGGAGCCACTGACATTATTCCAGTGCATGCCTCTAACCAGCTCATGTGTGGGACACTGCCTTGGCTGCAGCCTGCAGTGAGCTGGGGGCACACAGGGACAGCCAGTATAGCCCTGCTGCCAGGTGACAGCCCTGTCAGCTCATGTAGATGTCTGAATACCAGGTCAGCTTTATTGCCTGCTGGTAAAATATTAACCTTGGTTATTTTTTCCTCTGTGCAACTGGAGAAACAAATCAGATGCTGTCCAGGAAGCGTAACAGCTTCTGCCTTGGGAAACCAAGCCTGGTACCACCTGCTAGCCCACTCAGTGCTGTCTGGTGCCACCCAGCTTTGTTCAAGGCTGTGCTTGTCCCACTGCACAAGATGTCAGCATGAGTTTTAGTGGTGTTAAGATGAGGTGCAGCTATGGGAGGGCTTGCTCGCAACTGCAACAGGTGAATCGGTGCCATGGGCACTCCTGGAGGAGACAGCAGCACATGTTCCCCCAGGAATCATGGTTAGGAAGGCAGCTGGTTGGTAACCAAAGTTCTGAAATCAGGCACACTCAAAAGGCAGTATAGGAAAGGGTAAGTAGGGTAGGGTGGGGTAAGGTAGATTAGAGTAGAGTAGCATAGTATAGAATAGAATGGAACAGAATAGAATAGTTCAGCTGGAAGGTATCTTCAAAGATCACCAAGTCCAACTACCTGATCATTTCAGGGCTAATCAAAAGTTAAAGCATGTTATTGAGGGCATTAGCCTCTTGAACACTGACAGGCCTGGAGCATCAAGCACCTCTCTAGGAAGCCTGTTAAATAAATAAAGGTATTGCCAAATCTTTTCTTCCAGCAAGTATTCATACAGAGCTGAAGTATGGGCACAGGGCTTGAGGGTGATGTGGTCACCCAGCTGAGGGACCTGAGGTCCAGACCCAGCAGCTCTAACAGCACATTGGGCCCTGCTGAGGTCTGGGACATAGAGCCTTGCTAGCTGAAATCCCACAGCCTGCCTGAGACTGAGGATGTTAGGCTTTCTACAATCAGCCAGTCTTCATAGACTTCAGCCTTGCCCACACTGAAGGGGAGAAACAAGCTCATAAGACTGGAACATGGTTTCTGCTGGGAAGGGGAGGTTCACCTCTATGGTTCATCTCCTGCTGGTTGCTTTCATACACCCACGGTGTCTCCGCAGAGCTCTTCACCTCCCCTGCCCTTCCCTTCATACCTGAGATGCAGAAAGAAAAAACCCTTTTGCTGACAATGCTTAGGGTGCAGTAAAATCCAAGATGTGTTGAAAGGACACTCTTAAAAACCAGGCTTTTAGATTTAAAGATGTGTTCTCAGCAGTTCTTTTGCAAATTGGATGAGTCAAACTCAGCACTGGGCCAAAGCCCAGCTCCACTAGTTTCATAGGGGCAGCCTCAGTCCCTCCTCCACCCGTGGTTTCCCCACCACATCCCATCCTGTGCAGAATGGTTCTCTGGGGCTCACTGGCCTCCATCTCATGGCTGTTTTCCCTGAGATAGCAAAGCCACCCTCAGGCAGACACTGCTGGCCCTGCACTCCCCAGCCCAGATCACAGAATCATAAAATCACAGAATCATAGAATGGCCTGGGTTTAAAAAGATCTCAAAGATCACCTAGTTTCAACCCCCTGCTATGTGTGGTCGCCAACCACCAGACCAGGCTGCCCAGAGCCACATCCAGCCTGGCCTTGAAGCTCCTTCCATGTCACAATGGGAGACGGTCAGAGGCACAGGACGTGACCCCACACCAACTCCAAAGAGCCATCACCATTAGGTTTGGGGCCAGAAAAGGCAGGTGCAGGCAACAGCTGGGAAAAGGCTTTGGAAGTGAGGGCAGCGGTAGTGTTGTGTGATAGAGGCACTGTGATGTGAGCAATGCACACAACCTTTCTGCTGCACGCCAGTTAATGCTAAAAGGCAGATTAATAACTAAACCTGCTCACTGAGGTGTGATGCCGGCATGGCAGTTTGCCATGGGAAAGATTCAGCCTTCTCTGCTCCCTTTGTAGAGGTCACACCTTATAGTTTTTCTTTCTTTTTAGAGTATAGCAGAAGCCAGGAAAGCTGGTTTAGAATCACACTGCCTTCTCAGTGACATTTATTCTTCAAACAAATCCAAGAAAGAAATGCCAAAATCTATAGGCTTGCACCTTAGCATGCCAAGGAGAAACCACCAGCGAGCAACAGGGAGACACTGCCCTTCGTTCTCATGTGATACATACTTTAACTTTGAATTTTAATCCTTTTCATCATTGATATGGCTTTCTAGAGCTCCTATACCACAGGAATGCATCTATCTCTATTGAAGATTCAAGAAAACCCGGCAAGTATCAGGAAAGAAGGCAAAAACCTAAACACATGCTGCAGTGTTTATTGTCACAAGATCAGCTTCCTCAATGTACTGTCTGTAACTGCCCTAGAGAAGTTCTGGTGGGAACAGAAGCCTGAGTAAATAGAACTCTGCAGGCTCTGTTTGGGTTCTTACAGAGAAAGGATCCTGTTATTCCTCTTATCCTGCGAGTGAACTCCTTCCTTGCTCTCTGGTCCTCCAGCAATGAAGGTGATGACACTGGTTCTGTGGCAGCTGCTGCCATGCCCCATCACCCACACCCTCCTTGCCCTCCCACTGCCACCAACACTTTTTTGACATGGGTTGGGACAGCCAGCCTCTATATTGTCATGCTCAGGAAATGAGCAACCCGAAAATGAGATCAGATAGCGAGTTTTGTCCAAGCAATTGTGTTTCTTGACTCCACCTTGGCCATTGGTCTTGGAAGTGCCATAAAGGACAGCCAGATGCCACAATGGGGCAGTCCAGTGCTCGTGGTTTCAGTGGGTCATAGAATCACAGTCATGGAATCATTAAGTTAGGAAAAGATGTCCAAGATCATCAAGTCCAACCATCAGCCCAGCCCCACCATGCCCACTGACCACGTCCCTCAGTGCCGTATCTCCACGGTTCTTGAGCACCTCCAGGGTTGGTGACTCCACCACCTCCCTGGGCAGCCCGGTGTGCCGTGCCTCACCGCTCTTTCTGACAATAAATGTTTCCTAATATCCAACCTGAAGCTTCCCTGGTTCAACTTCAGGCCATTATCTCTTGTCCTAGAGCTGTTACTGGGAGAGGAGGCCACCTCGCCACGACCTCCTTTCGTAGCAGTCACACAGTAACAACTCGATCTTCCTCAAATGCAGAAAAAAATAAATGCGAAGTGTTGGGCAACATTTGGGTATTCCTATGTACCTACCTGTATATGGTGTGTGCATACATATATATGTGTGTATACATATATATATATGTAAGCGTGGCTCATTATTTATTAGAAGAAATGACTGCTGGGTTTGAAGAGCGCTGCCCAGCAGAGGCTGGCAGCGTTTCAGACACGAGGCACATCCCCTTCCCCGGACGGAGGCGAGAAGCCCGCCTGCCCCGGTGCAGCACCGTCCCCCAGCACCGCTCCGGGCTCACCGCATACCTCCGCCCTCGCTCCTGGAGAGCGGCCAAGCCGTTTCGAACAGCGACTAGTCTGCTGTAAAAAAGTCACCGGGCGGCCCACCGCCGCCTCTTTCCCGCGTCTTCGCCCCTCGCCACCCTCGGGCCCGGCCCCCCCCAGGCCCGGCTCGGGGCCGCCCCGCGGCGAGGCGGCCCTTGGCGGCGGCCCCGGCTCCGGCCCCGGCTCGGGCGCGGCGGCCATGGGCAGCGGCAGCAGCCGGCGGCGGGGCCGTGCCGGCGGCGCCCCGCGCGGGACGGCGCAGGCGGAGGCGGCGGGTCCGCTCCCAGCCGCGGAGGAGCGGCGGGCGCCGGGGACGGCGCTGGAGGCGGCCCCGCCCGGCCCCGCCCAGCCCGCGCCGGAGGTGAGTGCCGCGAGGCCGGGCTGGTTCGGTCCGCGCTGGGGAGCGGGAGGAGCTCGGGGCCGGAGCGCGGCGCCGCCTCGGAGCTCAGCGACCGTCCTGCCGCCGAGGTCGGTTCGCTGTTTTCGCTGTTCTCGCTGAACCGTTCCGGTTTTCCGGATGTTCCTCTGGGGAAAGAGGAGATTTGTTTATTTACTTATTTCCCTGCCCAAAAATAACAGCCGAGTCTCTGTGGCATGGGGCTGTCAGGGAGGGGCAGCTGGGGCTCAGGGACAGGCTGTGCGGCACAGGGCGGTGGGCGCGGAACGGGCTGCCCAGGACTGCGGGCACGGCCCCGAGTGCCGGAGTTCAAGGAGCGATTGGACACCGCCCTCAGACACAGGGTCTGATTTTGGGTGATGCTGTGCAGAGCCCGGGGTTGATCCGTGTGCGTCCGTACCGACGCGGGCTGTGCCGTGGCCGTGCGGGTCCGTCCCGTGGCGATGCGGCGGAGCCGGGCGGCACCGTCGGTCCGAGCACAGCTGTGGGGCCGCGTGCTGTTGGTTGGACAAATGCTGCCCCGAGCAGACGCACAGAAGTCGCGGGCGTGGTGTAATGCATCGAAGTAATGCGTTCCTGGAGGTATTTCGGAGGCGTGTGGACTTGGTGCATCAGGACGTGGTGCAGCAATGGACCCGGCAGTGCTGGGCAGTGCTTGGACTCATCTTACGAATCTTTTTCTTCATAAAAGATCCCGTGATTCTGCGATTTACCAACAGAGATAAATATTGCTCAGCACAGGAAAAACCCACCCGTGGTTTTGCCAGGGCCGTGCAGCACAGGGCACAGTGGCTCAGGTAGGCAGCGGTGCACTCACTGCTTGCAGGACCAGCACCGTCTCTCCGTTCAGTGCTGCTTGTCTTTAACAACAGCTAAAATTCAGCAGTGAGCTGCACCATCCCCGTGGCCAGTGTCAGTCACACCCATGCAGCTGTGCTGCAGCTGTGCTCCCAAAGCCACCCCTCCTTTGCTGTTTTCTCCACAGCACCACTCAGCTGAGCACAGCTCCTCTTTGACCAGGCACATCCCAGGCACATCCTTTGCACCATTCCTGACGCAATTGCTGGCACATCCCTGCCACATCCTCAACACATGCCTAACGCATCCTTGCCACCATCCCCAGCACATCCCTAGAAGATCCCTGGCACCACCTCCTGCCCATCCCTGGCGTATCTCTGACTCAGAACAAGCACCAGGCTTGCACAGGACAGCCAGGAGCTGCTGTTAGCTCTGGCAGCCAGGAGAAGCATGGCACTGCCCACCTTCCCTGCAGGATGCTGCCTCCCACCCCTCTGCACATCAGCAGGATAGGATCTCTGCCCGTGGCAGCTCGGGCTCTGTGTTCACCAGGTGTTGGTTTTGGCAGCATTCACTCACTCGGCCACCCGTGGCATTTCTTGTGTCGCTGGAGGGTGCTGCTGCCCACTGCACAGGCACAGCTGGAATGGCCTCTGTCACCGTTTTGGCTTGGGCCAGCCTGTGGTCCCCAAATAACTCTTGGGTTTGCGGTGTGCCTGCAGTCACAGTGTCACCGCCAGCCCCACTGTGCGCAGCCCGGCTCAGCTCTGGGGGCTCAGAAGGGGCTGGGGGGCCATTTTCTCACTTCCCCACAGATCTCAAAGCTCCGAGTGAACTGTTGGCAGTGCTCCTTTGGGAAATAGGTGCTGCTGCTGACAGATCCCTCAGAGAAGGTGGGAGCTGGTTTTGCAGAGGGAAGCAAATTTTGCTAACCAGAGCTGCTCCATCCTGATGACTAATTGATTCTGTCTTCCACCCACACACCACGTACAGCTCGTAACACAGAGGAGTCAGCTACAAAAGGAAAAAGAGGCAACCGCCTGTTTTCCAAGCCCATCCTTTGCCCAGAAGTGCTGGGAATGGGTTCTCAGGGTGGGAACTGCCGAGACAAAGCTGCGGGGCTGAGCATCCTTCTGGGCACAGAAAGGAGCTGCTTTGTTCCTGCTTTCTGGGGGCTGGGTCCTTACACTGGCTCTGCACTGTGCCTGTTTAACCTCTGTTGGTGCTGTTGGGAGCGGCAGGATAGCTCGTGTGAATCACCAGCTTCAGCTTAGAGAAAGCAGTCACCAAGCCGACTGAGTCTGGGTCTGTCCCAAGCCACAGCCGTTGTCCCTCTCCCCTTTCTATGGGGCAGCACAATAAAGAGGAGAAATGTGGAAGTTTGGTTCTTCCTGCAGCACCCAGCCTGCCTGCAGGGGGTTCTCTCTGTCACTTCCTTCATTAGCAGGTATTTTCATTAGCAGGTATTTTCATTCCTAGGAGGTGCTCTGGCCCATGTACCACCCCCCAGAGGTGGGTTGGGGTGCAAATGTGGCCGATGAGACACAAAGACAGCTTTGTATTGTCGTAACTGAAACATTTGACATTTATTCTTTTCAAGGCCTCGTCTCCACGACGCCTCTCAGACCCAGAGAACAACAACATCAGCAATGAGTGAGTAGCCCCTGCCTCCCTTTCCCCTGCTGTATTTTTTGTTGCCATCATGGCCACCTGGGCTGTGCAGCATGGGTGGATCACATGTCCTTCCTCCCTGGGAACCCTAAGAACCCATGAGAGGCTCCCATGCAGCAGCAGTTAGAGACACAGATCCTCAAGGTAGTGGAGGAGAGAGGTGGAGACCTGCTG